AGTTTTGTTCAGCATGGGGGTGAGTAGAAAATGAAGGCTAATCATGTTTTGGGTGTACTATTCCTTTAACAAATACCTAAATTCTTTATTTTAAAGAATAGCTTATTTAAATTGCCATTTTCAGCTTCTGAGGTACAGTGACAGCTCTGACAATGCATGAGAAAAACAAAGCGTCTTGCCTAATGAATCCAGGCCAGGCTGATGAAGCCTGGGTCTCCATCTCTGAGAGTCGCAGACCTTCGTCTTCTCCTAAATCCACCGGAGCAATCCTGACATAAAATCACAAAGAAACATTACAATTCTGCATTTCCTGAAGAATTATCTTCTCACAAACTAAGAAGACTCAGTTTAGTTTTGCATTTAAAACCATCAGTGCTCCTATAAGTAATGAAGGGAAATGTGTTTGGATAGTTTTTTCACCGGAATACAGTTGTTCTGCTGTTTGGGGCACAGCTGCAGTTTGCAGTGAAGGTAGACTTCACCAGCGCTCCCAGAGAACTCAAACATGTTGTAAGAGAAGTAGCAGGAGGTTCCTTCTCCGTTTGCTTCCACCTCCACTGTCCCGTCATTTGGGTTAGCACAGCTGGGATAAATAAAAACATTTGATGTGAGTCTTTAAGCCCAATCTGAAAACACGTCTATGATTCTCATCATTTTCGCTTTACATGTCTGCCTCTCACCCATCGTTAATCAAGTCATATCTTGGTTTGCTGCTGTCTGATTCCTGGCTGGTTGCCCAGCATGAGTCCATCACCACGGCAACCGTGTTAGCATCCAGTCCGTCGGTCTTCAGCTCCACCCAGATTTTCTGGTTTAGCAGCACAGCAGAATCGATAGGTTTTGTGTAGCCAGCGTTCACATATGCTTTCATAGACACAGAGTAGCTCCATTCTCCAGATTTGATGTGCTGGACCACAGAGCTGCAGAGCAACCAAACACATGGAGGCTTATTAAACTCGCTGAAAACATTTCCATCATGACTGAAACAAAAGTTGCCTGCAGTCACTCACTTGTCTTTAATTCTGAGCTCCACCACCTTTATCTCAGGTTGAGTATGGTGGCAGGAGAAGTCGATGTACACCTGATCATGGCGAGTGATGACATCAGAGCTGTTCTGGGTCATGATGGTGTTCTCGTAGTTTACCTGGCTGCCATTTCTCTGCAGAATCAGACATTCATTCATTTTAACTTGGAGATAAATGGCAGTTATCTCTTGTTTTGCTTTTTGGTTATATTATTGAACCCAATGGATGAGAAGATTGACAAGAAACACAAAATGATTCCAAAAAAGAGGAATGCAGGGATGAATCTATGATCCCACCGTGATCTCCGTCCCACAGGTATTGCTGCTGTCAAAGCTAAAGGTGACTGTGTGGCTCTCCTCGTCCATCACGCCCCTGCAGCTCTGGTCGTTGAGGTGCAACACTGAGTAGTCGATGCCTTTTTCCTCTAGCAGGCAGCCAACAAGAGTGATGGAACCAGAGTTCTGCTTGCAGACCGCTGGCTCACCTGGGAATTAAAGCATCTTTAAAAACTCTGATCTATGTCTTTTCCCAAAGACTCAGTATTATTGTGTATTTCTCAGCAATGTCCCACCCAGAGTGCCAGACACTTTGTACTTGGAGGCAAAAAGGGCTCTGCAGAGGCAGCCAGGCTTCCCACTATGCTTGTTGCCACAGAATTCATGATCACCGCAGAGCTTGTCCTGGCAAAAAGCCTGAGGCTCGGCTGCAGGGAAGGAAAGTGACATTTTATTCTGAAAACATGCAAACT